ATTGGATATGAAATGAAAGTGTTGATTGATTTTGTACCTCTTTAAAGATCTGACAACGAGACGGCTCTGGCATTGGGAACTATCCTGAGAAAACAGCGAGGTGGAGAAAGGGAGATCCTGCCAGGTTTGGAGATCAGTAGTGGAAGAGAAACCGTTTTCAGATGATACGCTACCAAGTTTAGTCCGTTCGGTTTATCTGTCACCATGACAATAAATGCCGAAGCTAAATTTAGTGGTAATTGTACCAACAAAAATAGTTCAGTGTTATGTCTACTGTGACATGAAGACTGGGGAAATGCACCCAGGTAGAGCAAATGACAAACGTCCCAGCCCTCAGAACAAAATGAGCTTCGTGGGGCGGGAGGTAGTAGGTAGGAGCCCAAGTGTTCCAGGAACAGAAAAGATGCTTCTGAGGCTGGAGCTTGGACAGAAATGGCAGTGGGTGGGGGGTAGTAGTGGGGGTACTTTCAGTCCGAGGTGCCGGCAGGGCCACGTCTTGCAGGACCTCAGAGGGCAAGATAAGAGATTTTATTCCATGTGCAATTAGAGGCCACTAGAGAGTGGAAAGAGGGGAATGACCTGACCTGTTTCTAAATGTCTCAAAATATTTCTTCTTTTTTAAGAAAATAATAAAAATATAAATTATATTTAGATGCTGAAAATATTTTTTAAAGATTCATTTATTTATGAGAGAGAGAGAGCGTGCGCACACGAGCTGGGGGGGAGGGGTAGAGGGAGAGGGACAAGCAGACTCTCTGCTGAGCACGGAGCCCCATGAGGGGCCTGACCCCAGGACCCCCAGGATCATGACCTGAGCTGAAGTCAGATGCTTAACCAACTGAGCCACCCAGGTGCCCCTGAAAATATTTTATATTTGTTTTAAAATGAATATGGGGGGATGCCTGGGTGGCTCAGTCAGTTAAGCATCTGACTCTTGATTTCAGCTCAGGTCATGATCTCAGGGTCATGAGATCAAGCCCCGAGTCGGGATCTGCACTGGGAGTGGAGCCTGCTTAAGATTCTCTCTCTGCCCCTCCCAATCTCCCCCTCTCTCCCTTTCTAATAAATAAATAAATAAAATTTTTTAGAATTAAAATGAATATAGGTATTCAAACTTTCTCTGAAAAAGTTTAAAATTTGCAAAATTCAATACATCTGTTTGTGCATATTTTAAACATATTCCAATCTTAGCTGAGTGTTTGAATTTTTTCAGTCCTAAATTTCAACATCTTATGAACCTCTTCATGCTTTAAAATCTTTACTTATATTCCACAGGATTAAATATACATAATTTATTCCTTTCACAAAAGGATTATGAAAAATGGAAGCAATTTCTTTAAGCAGTCATTATGTTAGCTAAAATATTCCTTAAGTACACAATCCAGGCAACATACTGAACACCTTATAAAGGAATGCTGTCTATCATTGCACCCAAAAGAGCCCATGTAAAGACAAAAGACAAAAAAAAAAAAATAGTTACTATTTCACTTGAATTTCCAAAAACAAAATCAGTCCAAATTGATATGCATTTAGTTCTAAAAAACCTTATAAAACCACTCATCAAAGTGGAAGAATATGCCATTGGCAAGACATACACTAGCCAAATATTTCACACTTTTTATATAGAGAGGGAGTCACAGAAATTCACCTGGCTTTATACTTCCTATTGAGTGAGAGTTATTTGTCATAAAATGGAATGGGGTGGCAGGATGCCTTAGACAATAAGACTATTAACCATTTTTGCAGACGACTCCTTTATATATTCTGTTTCGTATGTTGAAAATAGTTATGTATTTATTTTTGGATTATATAGCTAACACAAAGGAGGTATTTCAAGAATAAACTTACAAATTTGGATCATCTAATCAAATGAAGAACGACAAAAATCTCTTATTGAGTGCATGAAATATTTAAAGAAATATTTAGTTTTTATGGCTTTAAGAAATGTAGTTAGAAAATTAATCTTGTCTAAATTAATTTTGACAGTATTTTGGCAGATGTATATTTAAAAGAGATTATTCATACAATACTATATTTTAAAAGTGTAATTTAGGGGTTTTTATCTATTGAAACTTGAAAGAAAATATTCAAATTATAATGAGTGTTAGAAATTATTTTTTATAATATTGTTGTTAAATTTGACATGCATTTTACCAGACTAGAAATACAGCACTCTTAATTAATTGGAAACTTAAATCTTTTTACTATAACGAAACATTCATTTCTATTGAGTCTATTGCTGGTTTTGAGGCCCCAGAGAATTCCAGTGCCGGCTTTCCCTAGAGACCACAGTCCTGCTTTAGTGCAGGTGGTTCGGAGCAATTAACGATTGCTCTCTGGAAGGTTGCTTGATTTGGAGGGGGTGTCCAGACCTAATGGATAAGAGTGAAGTGATCAAGTAGTGATATTTGCCATGGATGTGTCAAAGAGAGGCTGTTACGCAAGTGCCCCAGAGCTGCCATCCTCATTTTCTTTCTTTTTTTTTTTTTTAAAGATTTTATTTATTTATTTGACAGAGAGAGAGACAGCGAGAGAGGGAACACAAGCAGGGGGAGTGGGAGAGGGAGAAGCAGGCTTCCCGCTGAGCAGAGAGCCCGATGCGGGGCTCGATCCCAGGACCCTGGGATCACGACCTGAGCTGAAGGCAGAGGCTTACCCACTGTGCCACCCAGGCGCCCCGCCATCCTCATTTTCATCTCTTAAGATTCGGCCAACCGTAGAATGTCCTCACACATTTGTAACACTGGGGCATGCTTCTGTTATGTGGCTTGTAGTTTGCAGCGATCACAGTAGATTGAAAGTGGTTTTGTTTTACTTTGTGTTCAAAGTCTATATGTGATGAGACATAAAGCAATTCGATATTCCAGTACTTCATTCCTCTTTAGGCCAGAGTTTTTCAATGTATAGGTCTCAAAAAAAGGTGAGTGGGTCAAAACGAGCATTCTTTTTTTTTTTTTTTTAAGAAATAGAATAGAATATAAGAGAATAGAAAGCATCAGAGAACATCACATGTGGGAAGAGTAGGGATTGTTATGTGAATCTTTTTTTCCAGCGGTATGTGTATATGGGCCACATTGTGATGTACAGTGAATTACTCTAGGGATGCCTGGGTGGCTCAGTCAGTTAGGCGTCTGACTTCGGCTCAGGTCATGATCTCAGGCTCCTGGGATCAAGCCCGGCATCAGGCTCTCTGCTCAGCAGGGAGCCTGCTTCCCTCTCTTTTTGCCTGCCTCTCTGCCTACTTGTGATCTCTCTCTCTGTCAAATAAATAAATAAAATCTTTAAAAAAATTAAAATAAAATGAATTACTCTAGGTTATGATGAAACCATTTTGAAAATCACTGGTTTAGATCCTACTATTTTTACTTCTGTGAAGAATAAGCTACCGCATTGTTTTAAACTGACACTGACCTGAGAAATATCTGTGTTTGGCCCAAAGACATCTCATTTCAGTTTTCTGTCTAAAGACCCGGGCAAAGTTTCTAGTCCAATATATGGTTGTCGGTATATGTTATCCTGGCATATGGTTTAGTTGTTGATTTGTTTGACCCTTAGAAACTTCCTAGGAGGCTAAATTCTATAACAGTCTCATGAAATACTTCAGATTGCCTAGGAAATGATAAACTGTGTCAAATGTCATTATTGGTTTTTTGCATTTTATATTTTTATTTTTCCTTCTTTATAATCATGAGCATTAGTTATTTTACTATAGCAATTTAAATGCCCATATATTTTAGGAATCCATGATTCTAATATGTCCTGAAACTATCGTAGATAGCCATTTTCCAATGCATTTATAATTAAATCTGATTTGTAATAAATGATATCCTGATTTAATTATAAATTTGTATATATTCTTGTTTTTCATCTCTCCTTACCAGATGTTGTTCACCACACTCAATGCTATTTCCATTCCCCTAAATACACTCATTTATTTATATATCGGTAATCAAGCAAATGTTCATTCCTTGGGTGAAGCTGTAATGTCTATCTTAAAGATATGTTTTGTGAATAACTCTCTCCCCATCACCACCTGTCCCTACCAGCTTGGTTGTTTTTGTCATTCCTGTAATGTGTTAAGTTTCAAAATACTTCCAAGTCCTGAAGTATGTCCATTACCAAATTTTGAATTATGACTGAAATGCCCAACATTTTCCATTTCATTAGGTTAAGGCATTATAGACAACTCAAATTTGTTCAAGATTGAGATATGTCCTCTCTATTAATCACCTTTTAACACTTTTGTTTCAATTAATGGCTTTTACTCTAGTGGAGATCGTGGCTGTAATGGGATGAAATATAAGTCATCAGCCAGAATGGGGATCAGGAAATGTCTTGGAACCTGAAGAGTGCCTTCCAGGGCTGAGTGGATGTAGCTAGGGGGGCAGGACAGCAGAAACCAGAATGGAAGGAAAGAATCTAAACAAGAAGTTAGTTGTATTATCAACAGAATTTTTCTTAGTTCAGATTTTCCCTAGTACTTGATGCTGATGTACAGAGATACTTAAAGTGTGTCCTCTGGATCAGCAGAACTTTTTAGAAATATATATTATCAGGCCCCATCCCAGAACTATTGAATCAGAGTCTTTGGGGCAGGGGGCCAGTAATCTATGTTTTAGCAACCTCTGCAGATGATTCTTATGCATGCTAAAGTTTGAGTACCACAGCTAGAGAAAATATTGACAAATGGACCTCATGGTAATAATGGTATTGAATAAAACTATATTTTAAATGTAATTTTACACTTTCCTTAGCATTTAGCTAGATGGATGTCTTAAAAGTATTTGTTGTTGAAAAAAATGCCATTTACCAAGACTAGTCAAGAAAAACATATAAGAGATTAAAAGTAAGTGAGATATATTTAACAGTGGATCAAGGGGAAAAATAAAACAAATGGCCTTATTTTGTGTAAAAGTTTTCTTTGCATTTGCTTTTATAGAACAATGACTCACTCTGTGGTGACACTAGGAGCTGATTTTGTATTTGTTCTGTAATTCTAGGAGAGCATTTACATTGAAATACCTCTCTCTAATCCAAAAGAGAAAATGATTCATTTAGATGTGCAGTTATCCAATGCTGCCCTTAATGGATTTAAGCAACTTACACTGCACCCGCTAGAATGTATCAACTATGTCCTACAGTATTCTCCAGCGACTACAGGCTGTAGAGATGAAAGGTATGGTTTGAGTGTGGCATTATATTTTATTGTTGATCCTTTGAAATAAAGCCTTCAAAATGATTTTAAGTGACTTGTTCGAGTCTACTTAAATAAAAGATGGCAGAGCTGAGATACCAGCCCAGTTATAATTTTATTTATTTATTTTTTCCAGTTATACTTTTAGATGGTCACGGGTTCTGTCTCTGTTTCCCCCAAAAGTGAGCACATGCTGATAATAAAGGAAGGTCTCCAGAGTTGCATGTCACTTGAATGCCTTCACGTGAAAATATACAGGTGTTTAATTCAATGAACTAAATTGGATTTAATCACAGAAAGCAGGACTTTTCTTATTATTGCTCCTGTAAGACATTTGAATTCATTAACATTTAAATATTTTTATTCACTCAACAAACATTTATTAAACAGATATTAATGATGATGTTTTTTCTGAATAATGATCTTCTCACCAAAAATGAAAAATTTAAAAATATATCTACAACAGAAGTAGAATGCATCACAGAGCAGTTGTCAAATATTGTATTTGAAACCACCTATTTAGGATTTTTTTCTGCCAATTTTATTACACAAACTAAAACCACTGACAAAATTTTGTATATTTTTCTCCACCAGCGTTATTTTTCAGCCTGACGTGGCTCTTGAGTTCTGGTATTTACTGAGATTAACTACTGAATTACCGAAATCAACCACAGTACCAGAAATACAATGTGACCTTGGAAAGTAAGTTCTGTTTAATAGATAAAATTATTTCGTGGAAGGAGAAAAATTTATCTAAAAGAATATTGTTGTAATCCACTTAATCTTTTTTTATAAGACATAAATATATTTTTAGTAATTGATTTTCCTTTGTAGGGAAGGTTTGATATTTAAACTACCCCCTGGAAAACTTAAGTCAAAGAAAAAGAAATTAGGACTTAGTAAGGAGAGGCTTTTATTCAAAATGATTATTGCAAGGGAGAGAAAGGGACTCTTGAAAGAGTTGGAGACCGCAGATCTCAGAAATCTGCAAGCATTTCAAAATCAAACAGGAAAAGCTAAAGGTGGGACAAGGAGAGATAAGCAGACTCTGGAGGGAAAGCTGGACAAGGAAAGGAAAATGACTGGTGGCGACTGATAGGAAAAGGATCGTCCTGTGGTAAGCGGATTCCCAGGAGAAGTCAAGGAAAGAGGCATGTTCCACTTTATTTGTGCTTGCTCAGGCTTGGGGACAAACAGAGCACAGGGGCCCGTAGGAAACATAGAAGGCTGACTAAAGTTTGGTCAAGGCAAAGCAGCGGGTCAGCGATGGACAGTGGAGAATACTTTGTCATTTGGCTAATACCATGTGCCCTTGAGATATGACCATTTATATTTACATGGTTGAGCTCTTCCTACATGTCTGGTACCAGGTTTGATGCTGATACATAGGGGTAACCCAATCACAATTTCTAGTTTTATTTTTTTAAGAGGTATTTATTTATTTGAGAGAGAGAGAGAGAGAGCACGATCAGGAGGACTGGCAGAGGGAGAGGGAGAGAAGCAGACTCCCAACTGAGTGAGGAGCCTGACACGGGGCTCAGTCTCAAGACCCTGAGATCATGACCTGAGCTGAAACCAAGAGTCGGACACTTAACCGAGTCACCCAGGTGCCCCCACAATTCCTACTTTTATTTTTATTTATTTTTAATAACTCTATAGAGATTGCATTTTATTGAGGAATGGAAATCCAATATGAAACAAATAGAATTCTAAATAGTTTATGGGCCTCAGATCAGTTATACAAAGCTCAAGGTGACATTTATTTACTTCATATTTTAGTGAGCAGTTTTGATTATGTCTGATACAATTGAAAACATGCTTCCATGAATTACTATAGAGTAATTCCTTATAAAGGTGAGGTAATCCCTCATAGCTTAATAATAAAGGTCCTTATTAAATCAAATATTTTTGAAATCATTTTGGTTTCTAATATGTGTAAAATACATTCATTATTATCATTTCAAGGTCACAATTTTTTTCATTCAGGATGAGGATATTTTGAGCCATATCATCTTAAAAGGAAATTCTAGACCCAAAAGTTACTACATTGTTCATAGATATAAGCTACATGAATGTTTTTTAAGACTAATATGCCTATTAGGGGGATTTGCCTCAGTTTCAAATGGGGTAACTGAGGTTTACAGATGCTAAGTGATTTGCCCTAGGTCACTAAATGTAGAAAAGAGACTAAGGAGAATGTTCTTGTATACAATTTTCCAGATTCAAACTAGTGGATTTACATAGAAAATCCAATGGAAATCCAAAGATTTGTCCTACAAACCCTTAAAAGATAATAATCTCTAAGCAAATAAATAACATTTGTGAATATAAAAACATGCCAAAGTCTCTACATTCTCTAGCAGAAATATCCTTTGGCATCTTTCCTGCTTCATATTACGGTACCATAAATGATTGTATTAACAATACTTAACAAAGGGTGATTAGGAAATATGCGGGTCTGCAAGAGGATTTGGTGCAATCTTACTTCAAACAAAATACAGCATGTTAGGCCTGAAGGCAAACCTAAAATACCCTAGAACTACCGTATGTGAAAGAAACAACATGCATGTGTAATAACATAAAGGGCTTTTAATTAAATATAACTTATAGTATTGGACTGATTTTAACGGCCCAGTAGATCCTCCAGTATTCTTGTTTTTGTTGCCATTGCAACTTGTCTTTCCTGCATTTCAATCACCATGGATAAATGAAACTTTAGGTCTCAAGACTTTTTTTGTCCAAATGATGATACACGTTCGTACTTTTAAAGAGCATGTGCACTAGTGGGCAAATCTGTACCTCTTTGTTAATTTCTCTCCCTTAGCACTCCAGAAAAGTGTTGAATTCTCCCAGGGCCAGATCTGTAGCCAAAGAAATCTGTAGCAAGTGATTTATTAAGGAAGTGGTCCCATTAAGAACAACCTGTAAGAGAATAGGGGAAGCAGGATAAGAAAAGGGAAGAAGCTAAGCAAGGGTGTGATTGCAGGTATGGTCCCAGACTATCTGATCCTGCAGAGAGCTCTGTAGCATAAATTACATCTCAGAGTTTGTCCTGTCTTGATGCAGAGATGCTTGGCTTTTGAATTCCCATACTAGTCATTATAAGCTTCCTTGGGAAGAGGTATAAACTCCCAGGCACTTCTACTGTCTGTACAGTTGAGGAGATAGCAAGACCCAAGGGCAATCGTCTGAAGGTCTCGGAAGGAAAATGAATAGCAAGCGTGTAGAAGTTGGGGTCTGAGGGTAGAGAACTGGTAAAAATCTTCCAGGGGAACTGGGTAGGGTGCCAGCAGTGTCTGCTTTAACTTCCTAACAAACTTATTTCTACTTTTATATTTTTTCTTGTTTTAAAAATATATTAATGTATGAAAGCTATATATGTATATAAAATTATTAACAAATGTATTACACTTATGTGAAAATATTTAGCACAACCAGTTTTACAATCTTTTTTTTTTTTTTTTCATTCCACTAACAGGTGCCCACCTTTTCTCTTTCTTTTTGAGTTCTTGTTACTTTTGGTCATGTTGTTCTAAAGAGTAATTTCTTTTTATCTAAGTCATACTGTATGTAATTAAAAGTTGCATAATATTAAAAAATGTTTGATAGTAACTACTTTTTTAGCCAGCCTTATTCTGGATCCCTATCCTCTTTGGAAGTTTGATGGCCATTAATTGTATCCAGTGTTTTTAAAATGTTTAATAAATTGGTGTTGTTCTATTTTCATACATTTTCTAGGTAGTTGGAGTCTCTTTCAGTATGGAAACACATGACTTTCAGTTTCTGGAAGTCTCAAATTATGCCATCTATTTTCTCTCTTCCTACAACATCTATGTTTTAGTTTTAGAACTTGGGGGCTATTTTAATTTTTTTATTTTTTGGCCTTTTTTTTTAACCAACATCTGTGCTTTTGCATTCAGATAGATTTACCTGAATTTATCTTCCATTCTTTTTGTTGAATTTTCATGACAGTTATCAACATCCAACACCATTTTTGTTGTTGTTTGGATGTTTCTTTTACATATTTTTGGGTTTTTTTAAAAATCGTAATGTTCTGTTCTTATTTCATTTTGGTAATATTTTTTCTGATATGCTTAAGATATGAATGGTCATGGCCTTTGTCTTTAATTATAAATTTTGTTCTTCTTTTTTCCTACTCAAAACTTTCCCTGATACTTGTTTTGCTCATATTTAAGGATTTATTTATTTAATTGAGAGCGAGAGAGAGTGGGGGTGGGTGGGGCAGAGGGAAAGAGAGAATCTCAGGCAGACTCCCTGCTGAGTACAGAGCCCAATGCGAAGCTCGAACTCACGACCCTGAGATCATGACCTGAGCCAAAATCAAGAGTTGGACGCTTAACCCACCGAGCCACCCAAGTACCCCTTTCTCATATTTAAATATGACACTCTGTAATGATAGTCAGGAGTTATTGACCCATTCATGTTGTTCTGTGTACCATTCTTCATTTATTTTCATTGCTGCAAAAAAAAAATTCCTTTTTATTGTTGATCAACTTTTGGGTTTTTTTTTCCCAGTTTGGTATATTATGAAATATGTTGTTTATAACATTGTATATGCTTTTGTTGCACATTTGTGCTCATTTCTATTGGGTACAAACATAGGAATGCAATATCACTGTACTCTAGTGGATAACAACAAAGAATGCACAATTGGTTGTACTTTTATTTACACTCCACCGGCCATAAATCGAAAGTCAGACACTTAACCAACTGAGCCACCCAGCCGCCCCGGCACTGTGTTTTGTTGTTTTTTTTTTTAGTGTCTTTTTATTTTGAAAGAGCTTAAGACTCATAAGAAGTTGAAAAAATAATTCAGAATTCACACATATGCTTCATCCTGGAAATGGTTTTTAAGGTGCTACCACTTGGTTCACATTAAAATTACCTTCTTGGTGCATCTGCATGGCTCAGTTGGGTAAGTGGCCAACTCTTGATTTTGGCTCAGGTCATGATCTCACGGTCCTGGGATCGAGCCCTGCATGGGGCTCTGTGCTAGCAGGGAGTCTGCTTCAGGATACCTCTCTCCCCCTCTGCCCTCCATACACTTGTTCACTCTCTCTCTCTCTAAAAATAAATAAATATTTTAAAAAAAATCATCTTCTTGTTTTTCTTTGATTTGACCAGCAATGTTATTTTAATTTTCCCTTCTTATTCTATATTAATAGGTTTGACACAGTCTTGATGAAAAAATATTTTATCGTGACTGTTTAGAAATAAGTATAACAACATTTTAGACTCAAGAAATTTAATTTTGTCCCTAAGTAATAAATATGTGCATCAACAATCCTCAGGATATACATTTGTAATTACACACTTCATTTCTCATTATTGGGAAAACTAGCAATTAAAGAAAATATTTATTAAATTCAATTCAATTGAAAACCTTTTTCTGGATGAACAATGAATCAAGTACCTCTTTAGTTAATATATTTTGCTCCTTGGTCCACTGGCAATCACAGGCTACATACACTTCTTACTTTTTGTATCTTTGCCCATTTCTAATGTCATCAAGTTATATTAATCTTTGCGATGAAATTGATTTTAATTCCCACAGAACTTACACTGTTTCTCACTTTTTTAGATTCCACATATAAGTAAGATCACACAGTGTTTGTCTTTCTCCGTCCGAGTTATTTCACTTAACATAATGTTTTCTAGGGGCGCCTGGGTGGCTCTGTCGGTTGAGCATCTGCCTTCTGCTCAGGTCATGATCCAAGGGTCCTGGGACCGAGCCCCACATCGGGCTCCCAGCTCAGCGGGGAGCCTGCTTCTCCCTCTCCCTCTGCTCCCTGCTCCTGCTCTCTTGCTCACTCTCTATCTCAAATAAATAAAATCTTTTAAAAAAACCCCATTATGTCCTCTAGGTTCATCCATGTTGTCAACAAATGTCAGGATTACCTTCTTTTTTAAGTTTGAGTAATATTTCATTGTATATTCCATGTTTTATTTATCCATTCATCTCTAGAAGAACATTTAGGTTATTTCCATATCTTGGCAATTGTGAATAATGCTGCAATTAATGTGGGAGTGCAGTTATGTCTTCAAGATACTGATTTCATTTATTTGGGGTATATACCAAATAGTTGGTATATGCCCAGTATTTGGGATCCAATTGTTGGATCATATAGTAGTTTTCTTTAATTTTTTGAGGTACCCTCCTATTGTTTGCTATAGTTGCTCTACCAATTTACATTCCCACCAGTGGTGTACCAGTGTTCCATTTTCTCCACATCCTTGCCAACATTACTATTTTTTTAAATGACAGCCATCCTAACAGGTATGAGGTGGTATCTCAGTGTGGTTTTACTTTGCATTTCTACAGCATGGCAGTTTTCATGCTATACATCAAAAGGTATTAGAAATGATGGTAAAGTGAGAATTATGAATCCTCTTGATTATTCTTTGCTTTGAGCATAAATATCAGCCACTTTTTTTTTTTTTTTGTATTTACTCATCATTGGTTTGGATCTTTTTGATGTAATGGACAGAACTTTGTGAATTTATTACTCATTGTTATTATTTCTAAACTGTTAACTTTTTTGCCTGAATTTAACAGTTATAAAATAATGAGTAAATATTGCTCCTAAAACTGGGATATATTCCACTACCCAGTGTGGAATAACATTTGGTCTCCAAAATAGAAAATCAAGGACTAATTTAGCAAAATGTCATTAGTTCATACATGATTATTCTTATTTTGAAACTCACACAAGTCATTGTATTAGCTTCCTAAACCTGTCATCACAAGTACCACACACTGGGTGAATTAAAACAACAGAAACATATTGTCTCACTGTTCTGGAGGCTAGAAATTTGAAGTCAAGTTTTCAGTAGGACCAAGTTCTCTCTGAAACCAATAAGAGAGAATCCTTCCTTTCCTCTTGTGGCTTCTAGTGCTTACCAGCAATCCTTGGTATTCCTTGACTCAGAGGTGTTTGGTATTCCTGGACTCTCCAGTCTCCACCTCCATTGCCATATGCTCATCTTCTCATGTGTCTTCACATTATCTTCTTATAACGACACCAGTCATAAGGGATTAAGGGCCATCCTACTCCAGTATGATCGCATCTTAACTAATTACATCTGCAGTGACCCTCTTTCTATATTCTGAGGTATTGGGAGTTAGAACTTAAATACATCTTTTTTAGGTATGCAGTTCAACCCATGATAGTCATCAAGTTTATAAAATTATCATTGAACAAGTTTATGAATAAGTTTACTCCATTTTTCCTTCCAGGTATGTCACTCAGATCATTCCTTTAGTTAATCCAACACACGAGACCTTAGAATTGCAAGCAACAAACAGTAATCCTGAAAATTTTGTCTTGGATGTTAACAGATCATCAGTAAGTATATTTGGAAAGCCAAATAACCTACCACTACTAGAGCATTTTTCAGTACTGATTTTGGGACACCATGGAGTATTATCATTTGATTTATTAATTAACAAGGTCTCAATTGCTTAAAATTTAAAAATAGAATTTATATACATATATATCTCCCCCCCAATTTTAATTGATCAAAGAAACCAATATCGTGTCCATCTAAATTTTTAAAATTCTGTATGCTAGCATCATACTCATTATCACTGGACTCTAAATGAACTGGTTGTGCTTTATTTCGGACCATTTTAGTAATCAGATTTGGAAATCATTCCCCAGTAGTATGATATTGACTCAGCAATCTTTCTATGTTTCCAGGGTTCCAAGAGGCTAGTTCCTTCCAGCACTTGATGAATTCCTGCCCATCACCTGTCCCCCACTTCCAAAAAATGTGAACAGTTCTGACCCTCTCTCCTTTCTCTACCCCATTTACTCATTCCTTGGTCCCTAGCATAGACTAGAACGAGTCAATGGGCCCCAATCACTTTTCTCCTCCCATAAGTAACAAAACAAGATCTGAAGGTTTAGCATCAATCTTTGTTTCCAAGCATATGATACCAAATATGTACAGTGAATACCAAAACCATGTTTTCAGGTAAACTTCAAAATGGTAATTGTGATAGATTATTTTCTTCAGAGCATCTCACAGTAAATCATGAAGCCCTGTTAAGTAGATATAGTATTTAAATAAAGGCTTTTACTATTTGCTGTTTAATGATTGTTTAAGAAATCTACAGTGTGATTTCATGTGTATCTTACTACCTATCTCTTGTCAATGACTGGTTGCCAATTAATAATAACATGATATGAAATTAGTTCTTAACTTCCATAATGTGTCAACTTAGATATCACTAAGTATTATATTGCTAACACCAGTTTCTAATGAGGAATTTCAGTTATTTGTAAACTATATCCTGATCACCATATTCTGTTTAATTTATGGAAAATACAGTGTTAAGTAATACAAGCATGTGTATACATTTTAGTATAGTTATTCTAAGATTAAACTATATACACAATTGTGTGTATAGCATTGTGTATATAGTTTAATCTTAGTGCTTAATAATAATGCTCTGCATTATTATTATATATGCTTGTGCATATATAAGCACAAACTTATACTTTCTACCTTGGTTCTTATGTTAATGATTTGCTACATTTGTCTTCTCTTACATTTCTTACTGTTCAGTCTGAAGGTAAGTTGTAGGCATCATGCTATTTCAACACTAAATACTTCAGATTATATTTCTCTTTTTTTTTCAGATTATATTTCTTAATGGCATAATTAATCTCCCACATCATCTAGTATCCTATTCAAATTTAAGTTTACTCAGCTGTCCTGCTAATCTTTCTCTCTTCAACTAAGATCCAGTGTAAACTCACATATTGGAATTGGTTATTATGATGACACTTCCTTGGAATTAAGTGTTTGCAAATTTCCAAAAGGTCCTATATTTAACAGATTATCTATATTCCATTATACTAAACCAGTACATTTGCTGCAGATAAATTCCAACCAATAGTGTTTATCTTCCTTTTCCTTGAAACCATGGGATTCATGGAATTCGTGAATTTTAGGTGAAAATAAAGGAATTTCATTGAGTTCCTGGTTGGCTATATACACTATCTCAATCTGTGCCACGTGCTTCTGACATATATTTAGGGAAGAGGAATTTGAGGCCAGAGAAGCTAAAATACTTAAACCTCCTGGCTAGTAAGTGGTAGAACTAGAATTAAAATCCAAGTTAATGTACTGGTATATGGGTTTTCTAATGAAATAGATGATTTCCTTATATCTATCGATCTATCTAGAGAACTTTTTGCTAAATTGAAAGAATACATGAAATACAACTTTTCTTATTTTTTTTGCTAAGGTTGATATTGAAATTAATTTATACTCATTATGTATGCATAAACTTAAGTGATTAACTATCAAAGGGAGAGCCAGCCTGAGATAAAAATATTTGCTATAGATAAACCACACATATACAGATAGGAAGGAGGTGACTGTTCTAAATATAACAATGAATTGTATTTGTATTTCATGGTCATTATCAGAGCATTATTATTAAGCACTAAGTGCTACATTCTACAGGGATTTGAATGACACTGCTATATTGCAGTTTTATATTTTCAAAAGTTATCTGGCAAAATACAGTAGTGAAAAAAATAAACTTACTTTTCAGACATACGCCTTTTCATTTTATCATTCTGTAAGTGTTAATGTTAAATATATTATTCACAGTATAGCGTTTTGATGTAGTTGCTGGCTTCTTTCACAATCTCTAAAGAGGTAACTCATTCTAATACTGTTCAGACTCAAGTTATTCTAACAGGCCACACCTTGAGTGTGTATATGATAGGGCAAAAAGGAACACTTCATTGTATACTAAAGAAGCCTTCCTTACATCTATGCTTACTATCAGTTTAATCTCTTCGGACATCGCCAAGGTACAAGTTAGGTTCCCAGTGGTTTCACAAGTATCTTGGGATGATCAATAAGCTATCAGTTCTTAAAAAAATGTATATTTCTATTATTTGGGGTTCTTAGTTGGCTTTAAAAATTAATCCTGATTTCCTTTTATAAAGCAAGTAACTCCATGTGGTCATTGTCTGGGGGGAGAACATGGGGTAAACACTACTGAACACTGTTTACCATGGCCATTATACCAATATTCACCAAGCAGGCATACTAAGAATGGGTAACACGTACAAGACAAAATACTAATTACACGAAAATCAACCTGGCATGTACCTAGCACACAAAGATCCTGACTCAAATAAAGCATTGATTTTTTTTTTTCTCTCTCTGAATTTACACAGCTGACCATACCTCCTCACTCCATCAAAGAAGTATCTGTTCACTTTTATCCTTCGGCTCTTGGAAGAACTGGTCATCAAGTTTCTATCACCTTCCACTGTACTCAGGTATGATAAATTATTCTTGGACCAAGTCAAGTTCATTAAATTTCAAAATCATAAATAAGTAAATCTAATTCATTCACTTGACATATTTCGTAAGCAAAACAAGTTCATTGTAAATGATTAATTAAATGAACTTTTGGAAATACGGTCTACATTGTACCTGTGGAGGCATCTAAAGAAGGCATTTTTAAATCCTTAGATTACTTGAATGAAGGAGAATGTACAACCAGATTTAAAATATAGGTATTTTAATGGAATGCCATTTTACTGGCATTTATGTTTATTTTCTGACTTGTTTACTCATATTTTCATGAACTTAAAGATGAAACTGTAGAAAATGTGATCTTGCAAATATTGTATTATTTTTTCATTCTATTTCATCTGCACAGTGTTACTGATTAATAATAACTTTTTAAAAGCAACAATGGTTAAGGGGCGCCTGGGTAAGTTAGTCAGTTAAACATCCAACTCTTGGTTTCGGCTCAGGTCATGATCTCAGGGTCATGAGATCAAGCCCCACGTTGGACTCTGCTCAGCACAGAGTCTGCTTGAGATTATCCCCTCTGCCCTTCATCCCACTCGCACTCTCTCTCTCTCTCTCTCTCTCTCAAGTAAATAAAATCTTTTAAAAAATAAAACAACAGTAATTAATAATTTTTTAAGCATCTCTAAACTTGCTACATGCCATTCTAAGAATTATATCAACTCATTCTCACCCAGTCCTGTGGTCGAAGTAATCAATCTCATTTTATGGATCAGGAAACAGACACAAAGAAATTAAGTTCAGGTAGCTAGTAAGAGGTTTAATTCAGACCCGAACGCAGGGCATGTGACTTCAACCTGTCTTCTTGACTGTTTTTGCAGCTACCTACAGATTCCTAAGTGATTATAACTCTCTTACTGCCAATGAAAATTTTACATACCTTTTGACAATTATTATTATTTTTTATTTCTTCAAGTGTTAATGAGGAGGAACGTAAATGGAGATATGTGCTTTAAATCCTACAGGACACCAAGGAGGTTACAAAACCCTGCCACCTGAGAGGCAATGGAATCAAATATAATATAGGGGACCCCATGTCAGTGCAAGACCAGTGGGTAACTAGAGTATCCTCTTTTCCAAGAAAATGTGTAATTTACCTTCAGAAGAAAAAATTTGAGGCTATTAAATTTCTTACATGATGACTGACTTTTAAGTAAACTGAAGCAATGCTCTGGAAGTATGCTTGATTCTCAGTAATATTAAAGAATAAAAAACAATAATCCTTTTCATACAGAAGAGAGAAAGTGTAGTACAGATTATTTCCTTCTACATAAATAATTTTAACAAGGCAGATCTTTTTTTTTAAGATTTATTTATTTACTTTAGAGAGAGAGTGCGCAAGCAGGGGGGAGCAAAGAGAGAGGGAGAGGATCTCAAGCAGACTCCCCACTGAGTGCGGAGCCCATTGTGGGGCTCCACATGGGGCTTGATCTCACAGACCTGAGATCATGACCTGAGCTGAAATCAGGAGTTGGAGGCTTAACTGACTGAGCCACCCAGGCACCCCTGGAATTGGATCTTTAAAGATCGTGCTGTGTCTTCTTTCAAAAAAGTTTGAGGTAAAGATGGGTGGACAATATTACTTTTTTTTTTTTTTATTGCACGTTTGTTTGGATACTTTTTAATTTCCCTCTCTGAACCCAAGGGGATAATTTAAGCAATGCCAGGGCAATTGTCGGATACTAGTGTTCAATAATGGTGGGTTGTGGTCTAATTTAGCAGCTCTAATATTCCAGGCCACTTGGTGAAACGTGAAAACATGGCCTTCTTGTTTTTGTAGTTTGGCTCATTCCCAGTGGTTTAAAGTAACTTCATTTCTGTCATCCAGGATTGATTTTTATTAAGTAGCCAAAAAAGTAAGTAATTTATGTAAAAAAGTTGTTAATATAATTGAACCCTGATGCTTGATTCTAGTCATTCAATTGTGTGGAGTCAGGTTAGGACATTGTAAATGAAAATATACTGCACTTGTATTCTGCTAGTAGAATCTCTAACTAAAAGTAGTGCAGGCATTTGAAGATATATGCTGATAAAACTTACCTTTAATCCTTCCTATGCAGAGATAGCATTTTATGGATTTACTGTCACCACCTGTCCTAGTTTTGAAACAATCTTAAAAGTTTTCCTCTTTTATTGGAGGCTTGGACACACCTGTGTAGTTTAAGAGATTATAAACTACGTTATTGTTTGTTGGTTTTCATTTTGTGACCTCTTTATTCATCTGGAACATTAGCAAACTGTTCAGTGCAGAACTGAGTCACAGTCTCTTATACTCTCGGGACTTTTATTCTAAATGAACACAAAGGGAACATTTTCAAACAGTGCTTTGCAGGTTTATGAAACCCAGATAAGAACGATGGCTGCATGCAATCTCCTTCATGTAATTTTTGAGCCATTCTTCCCTATCATGTCATAACAGAACATACACTGTACTAGGCAGTAGAGATAAATAATATGGCATGCAGTTGTGCACACTTCCTTTTAATGGGACTTCAATCTGTGCCTCACCACCTTAGCCTTCATGTGATAACTATCTGAATTGCATTTGAAATTCACTCTAGGATTTTGGAAACTTCATGTAGTGTTTAGGATCCAGTTTGCTAGATAAATTGATTTTTTAAAAAACCTTGAGCAGAAATACAAGGTTTTCATTAAGATTTCTCTTTTATGTTGCTATAAATAACCTTTTATGCATAGAAAGATGTTTAATATTTGAGTATTGGTCTTTTGTCCTTTTTTTAGTGCAGAAATATATTGAATATTCAATAAAATCAAAAGGAATTTGGAAAAGAAGAAATACATAATGATACATATTAAATATTAACAACAAAATGGGTTTTTTTAATAAAGATGCATTTATTTTAGAGAGAGCACAAGCAGGGGGGAGGGGAAAAGGGAGAGAGAGAGAGAAGCAAACTCCCCACTGAGCAGAGCCCAACATGGGGCTCGATCTCAAGACCCTGAGATCACAACCTGAGCCAAAATCAAGAGTCAACCGACTGAGCCACCCAGGCACCCTGAAATGTTTCTTATCTACCAAGATTTTTATGCATATTACATTTATTAAGTGTTGCAAATAAAATGTATGCGATTAGGATATGTATGTCATGAATGTTTATCTTTAAACAGTTTAAAGAATGGATATTCTACCTCTCTGGAGTAGGACTGTTCCCCCAGCCTATAGACATAGAAAGAATAACCACATACCTCCGTCTTCATTCATCTATTGTTATACCTTTCCAAAATCCCACCAAGGAAGATGTTTTGGTCAATATTGTACTAACAAGTAAGTTTTTTTTTTGTATTTTACATATGTTATTTTGTAATTATTAGTCAAACTTATTTTATCACAGAATCAAACCATATTAGAGATAATGGACAATTTAGAGATCCGTTAGTTGTTTCAACAGCATTATTTTATAAAGGAGAAAACAAGGTATGAGAGATGAAATATCTTGGCTGAAATCACTTATAAACTTATAAATGGTGGAGCCAGAATCAGAAATTAGAAATCCATTTACCAAGTCAAGTTCTTCCAATTTTATCTGTAAAGCCAAATATGTAAAGTAATAGATTTGTAAGATTCTTATGACATGACTCAAATATGCCAATGCTTATTCCTTAAAAGTTTTTAGAAATTCTAGTGTTCTGGTTTTGTTTCATTTCCCTCTTTTCTTTTTTTTTAATTTTAATTCTCATATAGTTAACATACAGTGTTATATTAGTTTCAGATGTACAATATAGCGATTTAATAATTTCATACATCACCCAGTATCATCATCATATAAACATAGGGTTGCCATGTACCCCTTTGAATTAGTGTTTTTGTATTTTTGTGGTAAATACCCAGTCGTGTGATTACTGGATAGTAGGGTACTTCTAATTTTAACTTTTTTGATTAACCTTCATACTATTTTCCACGGTGGATGCACCCTCTTTTCTTTATAAATAGCATATTTGGATTAAATTTTGGTTCTAACAAAACTTGGGTTTTTTTTCATGTCATATTGAAGATACATGTTTTTAAATTAGATCATGTGAAGTTTCTGATCACTTTTTATTAAAAGACCAAATAATGGAGGTCTGAAAATCAACTCATTATGAGTTTTCTGAAACACATTTTAAATCTAACATTAGACATTACTAATTTTATCTTTTCAAATATTATTACTACGTCTACTAAAACTACTACTACTACCACAAATCATTGTAGATAGCTCAATTGTTGGGCCAAAAGAAATGTATACATGTTAAGGTTTTTGATATAAATAACCAACTTGCTCTCCAGGATGGTTATACTGCTACAATTCGTGCTGCTATCAGGAGTATATTACAGACATTACCTCTTTTCCTGAACCTTGTAAACCCTGACCAGTAGCATTCTCCTTAATCTCCATCAATCTGATTGAGGCAAAATTGTATTTCATCATGATTGCCAATGACTGTTTTTTTGATTAATGCTGAAGCTGACCACTATCATTGACCTGTTGAAGTTTTCATCTTTCCTGATCATCTGCTCCTGCTCTTGGTATGAAATAATTAAGTAAAAATTAAGAACATAATGTCATCTAATGTATAATTCCCTTGCAAAGACTTTGGCTGTGATGAGGAGAGACATGCCAGTATTTACTAAAAGTTGATTGTAGACTCAAGGAAGTCAGCATTTTAATATGGAAGAGATGTGAGCATATGTATAGGCAGAAAGAAGCCAGGGTTGAGCAGAAGTTAAAGCTGTAAAGGAGGTGGGGCTTAACTGATTGGTAAGGCTCTGGGAGGACTAAGATCAGACTTGAAGTAGAGGGAGAAGCCCTGAACAGGAAGGGCATTTCTCCCTTAGGTCTCAGAGGGACTTGGGAATTAAGTGCAGTTGTGCTTATATTTTTATCTGCTGAGAAAAGGAGATAGAGTAAGAGATTTGAAGAGTGGCCCAGTGGTTTGAAATAATTGCTGGAGGGAATGGAGGAGGGAGCTGACAAAATTAAAATATGAAAGGTATTGTATTTGGCTGGGATTGGAAACCACAAATTTATATAGACACCAAGAAAATACGTGTTTGTGAAGTTTGTACCACTTCTAGGGCTCAGAATTCCAGGTACGGGAACAATACACAAGGCTGATAAATGGATCTGTCCAAGGAATGGAATTTTCAAGGCAATTGCAGCCAAATCACTTCATAACTATGAGAATGTTATAAAAAGCTATTGGGTCAAGATTGTTAACATTAGAAATAAATTATGAAGTAATTTGTGGCTTCTTAATTTTATTTAATTGGTCTAAAATGCTTTTGCTATATAACACAAAAAAACCAGGAAGCTTGACAATGAAAGATTGATTAGTCTTTCGTATTTTAAAACAGTCTCTTCTAAGTAAACTCCCTCTCTCTTGAGTAAATGTTCAGACCCTCAGGTTCTCCTCCTTCCTTCAACCTGAGGAGACCGGGGACAAAAAAAGACAACTTCTGCTATCTTCCTTCCCTTCACTTTCTCCTTTTCCTTTATGAAAATATTTCTCCTTTCCTTTTCTTGGTAATGAAGTCTCTCACTCTCTCTCTTTCTCTCTCTCTCTCTCTGTCGTAACCTCCTCCCTCTTTCTTTTGTGGGTTCTGTTTTTTCTAGCTACCATGTTCGTGTCTTCTTACATTCATATTCCTTGGTGAGTGGACCTCATAATTTGGCCTGAATTGTTGAAGGACCACAAGGAAACAGGACTGACAAGGTTAAAAATATTTAACCTGTATGCCAAATACACTCATTTAAAAAGGTACTAAATTAATACGTTCTGATTTAAATATTTGCACATGTCTTAAAATTACTTCATGATAGGACTGTGCAGTCCCTTGCTATCTTTCAGAAGATGTCAGTGTTTCTGCAGATGCTACAGAATTCACAGAATCCCCTTAGGGAAGTTGACAGCAAGACTTCACAATAAAGCACCAAGCTGGTGTTTGCTGAGAGAGGTCTTACAGTATTTCAGATTCTGCATTCCTGATTTTTCTTTCAATAGGCAGACAGATAGGTAAGATATATAAGATATATAGGAAAAGATGTCTTTCAAAACGCACTATTTTTCCAGGAAGGCAACATTTTTAGAGTTGCAAACTCATTCTCAAACTTTTATATTGCCAATTCTCTAAAGTCTTTTCTTCTGCTGGTATTTTAGCTATTTCCATTTTAATCACTTACCTCAGAAATATTGCCCTTTGACATTCAAGAATCTTTTAATTCTATTTAATTAAATTCTTTTTAATTCTTTAATTCTACTGTATGTTGTCTCTAAGTTCTTTCAGTTGAACATTACACAAGGCAAGGTGATGAAAGGTTATATTTCAGGGTTCTATTCATATCTTAATTCATGCCACTTTTAAATGATGAATGAGGTCGGGTGACTAAAGAGGAGATGGCCTAAACACTCAGAGAATAGTAGAGACTTCTCCAAAGGAGACCATTAATGAGTCCCATGAGGAGCAGGATGCTACACAAAAGCTTCAAATAGCCTAGGAAACTCGTATTTGTTATACACTTACTTGGTACCACATTTGAGCTCTGTCAATTTGACTATACTCAATCTTAAAAAAAAAAAAAAAACTCTGAGAAGCTTCTCAGATGTGGAATCTGAGGCTTAGAAATCTCCCAAAGCCATACAGTGAGTAAGTGATTGAACAGTGTCTTGAACTCATCCCATCTAACTTGTCTTCTCCAGGACCACCTAACTGACATTCTAAGTAGTCTGCTTACAGATGGTGCTTACAAATCCTTATGCTGATGAGGCTCTAAAGAATGGTACTTGCCCCTCTTCTTGCTTCCTCCCCTAAGATCTCAGGGAAAGAAGCCTCCCTCCATCCAATCAAAGGACCTCAGGAAATCCTCTGACTGCCACTCCTTTCGCATTTTCTCAGCTCTTCAGGTCTCTCCTTTCTCTTTTTGACTCTGCCGTCAGACCCTGGCTCTGCCTCATCAGCATATGCTTGGATTTTCTGTCTTGGCCTCCTTGTTCAGCCTGGACATGTACCCTTGCTCGGTGACTGCTATCAATGGACTCAGTTCCCACAATCCTCTCTGATCAGTAATTATGCCCTCCACCCCAATCCCTGCTCTCAAATTTCTACCCTACTTAGCCAGAAATAAAGGTGGAAAAAGGAAAGGTAGCCATGAATGGGTCTGAGTCAAAACGTTAGAAATTCGGGCCTGATGAATTTAGGAACTTAAGGACACATCTCCATTATAGGTATGTGTGTGCTCACTAATGGCAGGGGTTACATTAACTCATAGCTTTATTCTTAACTAAATGAGTATTTCAAAGTTGGCATATTTGTTGAGAGAGCAAGAATTGAATCTTCAGTCACTGATTATGTGTATTGAGCATCTATTTTATGATGAAAACTGTCATACACACATTTCAAAATGACTATATCTGCAATATACATACACACATACATGTATACATTGTATTTTGATCTCGTGTGATATTCTCTTTGTGAAATATCACTATGGGTTATATACCTAAAAGTTATATAAATGAATGAAGCAGTAACTGATATATGTAAAGTAGCAATTTTCATTTCTTTTCTACTGAAATAGCTATAGTCTTGAGATTATTCACTCTTTCTACTGAATTCAAATTTAAATGTGGTATTAGTGATTTGATTCAAATGTTTAAGTGTAAGTGGATTCTTTTCCAGACATCAATAGTTGTATTGAAGAGCAAAACAAAATAACATAGGGATAAAGGTGTACCTACCAATTATCATATTAGTTTTACAAATTTCAACTTCCATTTTGAGGGTTGATTGATGTAAACAAAACACTGTGTTGACAACACCACACAAAATATCCCCATGGTTCTGTGCCTTTCCAGTTATAGGTGGAGCAGGAAAATAAAAAGTTCTGTCTAAAATTTATTTTACTAAATATAACCAAGAAACAGACTCTTAACTATGGTTGATGGTTATCCGACGGGAGGTGGGTGGGGGATGGGATAAATAGAGGGGGGCACTTGTGATGAGCACTGGGTGTTTTATGGAAGTATTGAATCACTGTGTTGTACACCTGAAACTAATATTACACTGTATGTTAACTGGAATTTAAATAAAAACTTTTGAAATTAAAAAAAAAAAACACTGTTGAATTGTTGTTGACTCAGGGTTAATTATGACTATAGTGTTCACCAGCAGTAAAGTAATAAAGTACACACTGTAGCATAGTTATGACATGTTAATGATACTTACAGGACAGGGAGAGGCAATGTCTAGTGCATTTGATTTGACATGTTAGAATTAGTTTATGAAAA